ACGTCTCCATATTGATGGATACATATGGAGACAACATATGTGGATGCTTTGAACAATTGTGAGGCTTGAAGAGCAGACGAGGGAGCCGCGCGCGGGTACTGTTGCGGTGGCGAAGGACTTCGATGAGCATCCGGTCGGGTGAGGCGGCTGTGACAGAAAATGGCTGCGAGTGTTGGGCATTCAATTCGATGTGGTGTGTCGGCCATCGCAAATAGATGGTAGCAACGTGTGTCGTTGACAGAACTCTGCTCAGCGATCGCATCAGTGGCCGCATCTGATGACGAGCACTATGAGTTTGTCTGCTCAATGCCTCTACTAGGTACAACTCTATACTGTATGACGAGCGCGTTATAACCAACACATTCATCCTTATGCGCTGAATACCTCGTGGCACTCACTTCTTCAACATGGCAAAGTCATCACCAATTATTGAATTGGCGATACTTTTCGAGAGACAGATCCTCGACATCGTCATCAGCGAACACACAGTAGCAATGCGGATATAACTTCTCTACGTAATCGAGTCTACTCTCTTCTTCCCATTCCACAGCAACTATATTCTCAAGCTACTCTTGACAGCTTCAACCCTAAAACCACAATTACACAAACCAACAACCATGCCCCGGAAAAGCTCTCGCAGGTCCCGCCGTACAGAAGACCACCCCGACCCCTTCGCAAACTACGACGAGAACGACCCTCGCGACTATGCGATGGGCTACGAAACATGCAGCGACGGAACCCAGCGCTATTTTTCCGGTCACGTCGACGCACCAGACTATATCCGCAACCCCGGGCGGCAGCAGACCTACGACGAAGCCGGTCAGATGGGTTATGCTCACGCGGCTTATGAGAACCATATGGGTGGAAGGGCGGCTGGGTGAGTGATCTCGATTTTTCTTTGTCAAGTACGTTCGAGGGGTTGTCATGCATCACACCTTTGTCTCGACTTGTGCTGACATGTATATCTGACTAGATACCGCCGTGGATATGGCCAAGGTGGACAATACGGCTTCAGGAAAGGAAACTTTGATGAAATGTACGATGGATACCAAGAGGGTGCCGACTATGGTTACGAAAACACGTATCAACAAGGTGCTTTTCATGGTGATATGTTTGGGGGCTATGAAGACTACGATGACTTCGCTGGTGACATGGGTGGGTATGGTAGGTATGATGGGTACGATGAATTCCACGGCGGGTTTGGAGGATATGAAGGGCATGGCTACGGGGGGTATGATGACTACGGTGGAGGGTATGATGGCCACGACGATTATGGAGCGTTTGACGGTTATGGTGGCTATGGTGGATACGGCGGGCACGGCTATTACTAAGGTACTGTTCGAGTAGTATAGTGTCCAATGTGTCTATCAAATATACCCTAGGCTTACGACCGCAATATGAGAACTACATTTCGATTATCAGTGTTACATTATCTAAGCTTTGCTAGTCATTCAAATCCCAACATGATAGCACTGAAATATGTAACTACTGTCTTTTACTGGCGATGAGCTTGCATGGAGGTAACGTAAACAGGAAGTATAATTAGGACTAACGGGGGGAAGTCCAGGATTCACAGATACTCGGCTGATCTAACAAATAACATGCCACATCATGTAATCGTAGCCAAGTCGCGCTTCAACCACACGTATGGCTTCTCTTCATCAAGACATTGCCAGCACAGCCTCGAGTCACCAACATCTGGCGTCGTCATGGAAAGGTCGACAGCTAGTGTATATTCTGCTCTTTGGTACTTTTTCTTTACCTCAACACACATTCCAAATTCGCAAAGTAGCAACACTCACATTACCTCAAACAAATCACTCTCCAAGTCAATTAACAATGGCGAAGAAATCGAAGAAGGCACCAAGCCGGCAACACATATTAGACGGCTCCTTCGCAGCCAGCCCCCATGCTACTTCAGAAGGCCCATGGACACACCATTATGAGGACACAGATGGGCGCACATCCACAGCACAGTACTGGCTGCCAGGCCAAGATCCCCCAACGGGCGACATGCCACGCCACCCCAAAAAAGGATACAAAGCAGGCCGTGAGCGGGCTGAGAAGGCCGGCTGGGATCAACGTGGTATGCGAGAAGGATTCCCCATGGGGCATTTCCAGGGTTTTCATGATGCATATGATGATGTGGAAATGGGAGGGCAAGCTTATGCAAGGGGGTTTCAACGGGGAATGCCCGTTGGAGGAATGTTTGGGTATGATAATGGGTATGAGGACTATGCTCCTGGTGGATATTTTGATGACTATGATGGAGGGTACGGTGGATATAGGGGAGGGTTTGACGGAGGATACGGAGGATACGATGGCGGATATGATGGATACGATGGGTATGGCGGGTACGATGATGAATACGATGATTATGGTGGTGGGTACGATGACGGATACGGAGGGGGATACGGAGGAGGATATGGCGGAGGATACGGTGGTTATGGCGGAGGATTTGGAGGCTATGGGTTTTACTAGGCATTTTGAAAAGCTCTAGCGCCCGAAGGCGATGAGTGCTTTATGTCGAAATTCGAATGACTGCTTCAGTTTGATACGACGTTATGGTCTAGCAGTAGTCTCTCCAACTTGCTGTTTCTCCCCCACGTAGGGTTGCTTTGCTGAAATAGCTTCCGATCAAGAATGCTACCACCCAACGGTGATAGTTGTACAAAAGACTCTCAGTACGTGAGCTGCTGACCTGACTGCATTAGTGAAGATGTAAAAATATATCGACTGCTGATGTTTGCAGCGCATTGCGCCGAATGATAGGCTTTGCAAAGTCGCAACTTCGTGTACTTTCTCACACTAGGAAACCGGGCCTCTTAATGCATCAACGCATGACTTGGTTCCATCGTCAAAACAACAATCAGCCATGAGATACTGGTGCACATATTCCACCCGGGCAATATCGATATCCGGAGGGCGTGCATTTCCCATTTCGATGATCGATTGCCGCTTCGTGGCCCTACCGCGTCAACGGTGGCAATCTCCCGAACCAGATTTATAGAGCGTGCCGTGCCGTGCCACCACATAAAATGCGGTATTCGAAGCCGTGATGCCGATCATGGCAACAAGCACGGTGGTAGTGTGGCAGGTGCGACATGCCAATAACTCGGGGCCTCGCGTTCAGCCTCGTTATCGTGCTAGTGCTCGGCTATACAGCAAGAATAGACATCGAGGTGCTTTTTGTCAAGATTGAGAAATGCGGAGACCGTGAGGCGCTGCTTGGCCGAGCTACAGCATCTGGCGAAGTGTTGATCAAAGATAGGAGGGGCACGAGAGAGGGACTGATACGCAATTATAAGCTTCGTAACTGGCGATCAAAGATAAGAGAACGCATGTAAAGGTAGTGTCAGGGTTTTGCGCAAGCGTTGGTGATGCGTGCGGTTACAATGCGAGAAGACCGCAGTGTCAGGAGGAAGAGCAGCCAAAGAAAGCATTAGCGTTACCGCTTTAAGCCTAGACATCATCTGCACGCGGGAAGGGTCCACAGATCATCGCAGCTCCTTGTTCACGACATCAACTCGTGCGCCACGCTGTAATCGTACACCCGGCTCGAGTATTGAGTGATGAAGAACAGTATAGCGCTCTTCTCTTGTCTAGATCTAATGATGCCGACTACACTGACTACAACCTCGTGGCGTACCGCCGCAGATCCCCCTTGACTTTCTTTTTCTCGGCTTTTCTCAACTCAACTCAACGTGCAATCTTCGATGGCCCAACTCTCCTTAACTTCCTTTCCCAAGATGGTGGATCCTGGCTCGATTAGAGGAGTCACTACATACTGATCCGCATGCTTGGGAGTCAGCCACAACAGTCCCTGCGCCTGTCCTTCGTTTTGCGAGATACGCAGGATCTATCACATGGCCCATGCCTCATCAAACGATCGGTTCTGTTCTCATACGTCAACAACAATGTTTGATCGCTCTCTCCTTAAAGCTTTCGAGATGCCTCGTCATCCGCGGATCCAGGCTGGTCGAGTTTCCTTCCCAAGATGCATTCTCCCTTTGTCACTCGTTCTTTTATTTTCGTCGGCTGTTTGATACATAGCATACGTGCCACTCCTTTAGCCAACGTAACTCTGCCTTCACACATTCCGATTCCTAGCCCGACCGGCGTACCACCATATGACACGATACCCTCAAACAATAAGACCGAAAGATGGGACAGCCCAGAATACACATGGATCTTCCAGTATCCCCTACCAATACCCGCTGTGAAGGAGGCCAAATTGTAAGTACTCATCATGTTGAAAGTGGCCGAACGCTGACAGTGGGTAGCACCTACACCAATGAGACTACCGGTGCCGTTATCGACTACTACGAGGTGGAAGTCAAGGCTGCCACCCAACAAATATACCCCAATCTACCAGCCACTACTCTTTACACATATGATGGTTCGTCACCGGGACCGACATTTATGATGCGAAAAGGGCGAGGTAGGTCTCCGCTCCATTCTGTCTATGAAGTCAAAGCTGAATCAGTTATTAGAGGCAGTAGTGCGATATACAAACACCAGTCCAACAAACTCATCAGTCCATGTTCACGGCCAGTACAACCGTGCTCCGTTCGATGGCTGGGCCGCAGATTACGCATTCCCTGGTCAATACAAAGACTACTACTATCCGAACGCACAGAACGCTCGAACTATCTGGTACCATGTCAGTCTCCATTAATCTCTTTCTATCTTGCAACTCACATGTTGACTTTTAACAGGACCATACTGAGCGCCAGACCGGCGAAAATGTATACAGGGGCCTCTCTGGCTTTTACATCATAACGGACGAAGACGAAAAGGCCCTCGGGTTGCCAACTGGTGACCATGATATCCCGTTATCCTTGAGCGCGAAGACATACAATCCTGATGGCTCGCTACTTTTCGATACGAACAACAACACTGGACTGTGGGGCGATGTGATTCATGTGTATGCGCACACTACTCTGGATAGTTGATTTTTGAGCTGACCCAGAAACAGAAATGGTCAACCGTGGCCGTACATGAATGTTGAGCCACGCAAATATCGCTTCCGCATCCTTGACGGTACTATCAGTCGTTGTAAGTCACTAGACAAATCCTCCACTTGCAACTTTACTAACGACATCTAGCCTTCGTTCTATATCTGCAAGACGATGCAACTGAAGAGACTGTGGACTTCACCATGATCGGTTCGGATGGAGGACTGTTTTCCCATCCCGTAAATACATCGAGCTTCGCTATCTCCGAAGGTGAACGCTATGAGATCGTCGTCGACTTCGCCGACTTCCAAGGCAAGAACATCACAATGCTCAACGAGCGCGATATGGTGGGAAACCTTGACTTCGCTGCAACTGATCGTGTCATGCGCTTCGTAGTCGGCGACACCGTGACGGACTGCACCAACAACGACCCCATACCATCCGACCTTCGCTACATCCCTCCTCCTCCGGAAACCAACGTCACCAAGAGCTTCAAATTCTCGCGAATCGACGGCGAGTGGCTCGTCAACGGTGTAGGCTGGGAAGACATCGAGAACCGCATCTTGACAAGACCAGTCCTGGGCGAGGACGAGATCTGGGAGTTGAGACACGGAGGTGGAAATGCCTCGCATCCTGTTCATATCCACCTGGTCGACTTCCAAGTGCTGTCTCGTACGGGAAATCGTAACGAGGTGATGCCATATGAAGCAGCGGGTACAAAGGACGTTGTGTGGATCGCACCTGGTGAAGTCGTCAGGGTTGTGGCTCGCTACGCACCGTGGGCAGGTGTTTACATGTTTCATTGTCATAACCTCGTCCACGAAGACCACGAGTAAGTTTTCTCGGATACGTTAGTCACGAGGTTTCATACTAAAAACACGCAGTATGATGGTGGCATTCAATGTCACGAACCTTGAGAAATGGGGCTACGACAATTCTACCATGTTCATCGACCCCATGGAGCCCAAGTTCCGACCGAAGAACGTGGACGACGCATATTACACAGAAGAGGCTATACGAGACAAGCTGGACTGGTTCTACAGTCTCAACGCCTACGAAGAGCGCTCTGAGTGAGGGGATGTGGTTACACATCGCCAAGTCTTCCTCGTTGTCCATTCTTCTCCTTCCGTATATACCAATACCATCTATTTCTCTCATCTTCCGTGGCACTGAGACCTCCACAGTGGAGTGGTGTTTGAAACTAAACATCTGACGCATGACAAAACAATCCACCGATGCACACGTGTATGGAATGTGATCTTTGTTTTCGTTGAGTGTTCTATACGCCCGCTCGCCAATCGGATCCGAGAAGGGCAAGAAACCTACCATACAGCCAAACCTTCTCCAACATCTTGGCCTTGACTAGTGGTTCACACAGTACCACCCTCACGTACGACAGTCATTTCCCAGCCCCCAGCTTACCATCACATGGAACTCTGTACAAGAGCGTACACGTTGACTGCCGAGCGGACCATCGGCCATTTGCATTAGCGACCGCTTATCTGCAACCCTCGGCTGCAGGGTCCAGCATACCTATCAGCGCAGGTCGAACAGCCTGCCGCAAGGCTTCATTACGGACCGACGAGAACGAAAACGCCTCAGCCAGCGGGGAGACGGTAAAATCTGCTCACTTGCCAGAAGGGGAAAATGAGACAGACGGGATCTTCAGTGTCAGATTGGCTGTCAATCAGGATCACTGGTCTCACGTTTGACCAGCTACCCCCCAACCTCTGCATGCTTCAGCCTTGAAAAAACGCGCAAGGTAATTCCTCGTTATTTGACGTCCAGCATTGCCCGCAAGGCCACCCCAGATCGTCAGCGGCCGGCTGTTGTCAAACGAGTCGCGGGGTCCAGGGCCATGAGTCAAGGCGCGAACTCAGACTGTCAGTGTCGTGTCGGGCTCATCTCGAGAGTTTAGAGTATAGCCGTATGTTTGTCTCAGGATTGTTTGTAACACTATTCCGCCGGTCGTCCCTCATCCACCCGTTGGCGAAACGATAAGATTGCGCGAAAGTGGGATGAGGATGGTTCGTTCGTCGTGTGCCCCTCGCAATGAGGGGGGTCCACATGTGGCCCATGTTGCAACGTCGCCTCGTCGATCGATTCGAAACATGTCCGAGCTGCTGTGCTGTGCTCTACATACGGTACACCACGGCCGTTGGAAGATGTGTTATCCGTGCCGAGGACATGGTCCACCTATGCATGTCACATGCCGTCGTATCAGTATCTCGTAGTAGTGGAGCCAGATACGAAATCGCGATGAGGGACCTAACCGTGTCTTCGCAACTTCCTCTTACAGTTGCGGAACACGTTCCGCCATTGACAGTCACGCAATCGACTCTCTCACAATCCTTCCAGCCCACAACACCCACAATTAACTTCCTACAGTCTCACTCCACATCTCTCTCTCATCGCGATCCCATCGGCAAGGCTGTTCTCGGCCGTTTCTCGTTGGTGACGTGGGCTGATATCATGGAGGCCGTCGTAATGCAAGTGGTCGCTGGTCGCACTAACCGGCGACTACGAGCCACCTCGGCCCGACTCAGGCGGTTCGCAATACAAGCTTCGCGGTGTTGAGCGCCGTGTGGAAAGTGCCGGGTAACGCGGCGTTGCGCTCCTCGTCATTCCGGGTGGGAGTGATCGAATCGGAAGTTGCCGCCGACACTCGCTCGCTGCCTTTTGGTAGGATCTATCGTTGAGGCATTTGTAGGCGAGGCGATGGGGTGAATAAGGCCGGATCGACTTGCTTGCGAATGCAGACGTCGGTAGTTGGTTCATGTAGATGGTCATTTGGTCTGAAACACGCGATGCTATTCATTAGTGATCAAGGTGAGGAGTGAGGATGTGCAATAGAGAGATTGGCTGATTGAAGTGACGAGGCAATTTGTGCCTGCCTTGTATGAATTGTGTTTGTGTCTACTATTGCGCGATCTAGCTATGTCTATCATCTATAGCGACTGCTGCAGTGACTCTGGCCGAAATCAAATGAGGTACTACCCAAACGCCGTGCTATGCAGAAAGGAAAGCAAAGAAGAGAAAGAGAGAAGAGAGTCAAAAGACATCTACTCCTCAAGCACACCAGTCTCCATCATGCTCTCCCGGAGTGCCTTCTTGTACTCGCGCTCCATGCCGTGCCTGACGGCGTCGAGGACGTTCTTCACAATAGCCTTGGGCTCAAAGCGAGGTGTGGTGCCGCGCTGGTAGACACCAGTCTCGACTAGGATAGAGTACCAGTTTGCGGAGTCGGTGTGCTCGTTGTACTCGTTGGTACCCCTCACATCGGACTCGGGTGTGTCACCTACAAAGTAGACGGTTGAAGGAGCCGAGTTGATGCCGTGAGTGTCGCGACGCCACTCGGCAAGAAGGCGGGTGGCGAACTCGAAAGTGCCAATCTGAGGCTTGCCAAATGCGGTTGTCTTGAGCTCGCGGCCAGTGACAGCCTTGAACATGGCCTCGAGTGAAACACGGAGAGCGCCCATACCAATACGGGTAAGGTCATGCGAAGCACTCCAGACGACATCGTTGTGGGAGAAGAAGACTGGTGGGCCTTCGTCAAAGTTGGCAGATCGGGTTCCGAGACGACCGTTCTTCGACATCAGCAGGTCGAGGATGATCTGCTGATCCGATGCCCAATCGCGAGAATCGGCGAACACGAAAATGGCGTCAATGTCGACCTCAGCGAAGTTGCGGACTCGCGAGTTCTTGTATTCTTCCTCAGTGAGCTTGCGGAAGGGTGTAGTATCTTGGTTGTCTTTGATGATGTCTCCTGGAGTAACGCTGGAGCAATGTTAGTCGATGTCATGAACAGAAGTGACGGACCAACTTACACATCCTTGAAGCCGTAGCCCTCAGCGACAATGCGGCACTTCTCGCCCTCACCTCCAACGACGAGGACGGTGTTGTACTTCTCTGCCATCTCCCTCATGGGTGTGTGGCCGCAGATGAATTGTCCAGGTGATACTTCCATCTCCATTTGCTTGCTGAGTTGCACGCATCGCTCGGCTTCAGTCTTGCCACCACCGTTTGTAACGAAGATGTATGGTACAACAATGCCGTACTCGTTCTCACCGTTGAGCATCTTCATGGCTTCAACGGCTTCAGGGATGGGTCGTCCACCTCGGATGAGGACACCATCGATATCTAGGATGCGTTAGAAAAGAGTTGCTTTCCCATGGTGACTAACATACCAAAAGCGAAGGCGTATTTGTCCGTAACTGATGTCTCTGGGGGTGTGTAGCCAGGAGATCCAGGAGTGTTGGCAGCGTCAAGGTGATGTCTGGCGGTCTCGAAGGCACTGGCGATCTCTGATGCTTTTGATGAGGGGGCCATGAGATGTTGTGGGGGGACGACGACCGTTGGGCCCATCTTGATGTTCTCGCTGGTAGCCTCACTGGCAGAGAGGCGACGCATGCCCGTTGAAGGGGCTGCTAGAGAAGGTGCCGACATGGTGATGGAGTGTGTGGAGTTTGGGCTCGAGGAAGTTTGCAACGTGTGTTTGTTGCAAGAAGTTGTATAGTTGTGGTCTGAGCAAGTCTGAAAACGCTGGAAGTTTGACAGCCTTTATAGTTTGCGAGCCCGATAGATAGGTAATGTCTCCAGAAAACCCCTCAAAGGAAGCGGAGAGAACTGTGGGTATGTGGGTAAGTGGATATGTGGAGGTGGGTTGATGGTTGGCTTGCGCGCAGATACCCAGAGTTTTATACCGAAGAGACAAGGTAGTCTGTACTTCGCCCCCTACACTACTCAAACGTCCACTGCAACTCTAGCGGCACGGTACACTGCGCTTCTGCGTAAATGTGCCGGACCCTGAACGATAAGGGTATGGCTTGGGATTCTGTTGGATGGCATTGCGTAGATCTATGGCGTCACTCGGGCAGATTGAGGGCAAGGGACGGTTTTGCAACACCGGAATTCGATAGCGGTAGGGAGAGCCCAGGCGTGCGCTTCTGACATGTGGTGAGAGATTGTGGCATGTTTCTCGATGCCCATTCGACAAGTAGTCTGGTAATGTTGCAATAATAGTGGGTATGACAGTCACGGTACAGGGCCTCCTGCATCTCAGGCGGTCTCAAAGTATTGCCGTCCCATGCGCGCCATGTGGTAGACGGCCGCGGTTGGTGTTGCTGTGGAACTGTGTTGCAGAGTTTTGAGGGTCTTTTGCGCTAGTGATGTCATATCTGATTAGCTCGCATATCGCTTCGGCGCCTTGGAACAGCCATTCGAATCGGCTGGGGCATCCGCAAATGAAGAGCCTCAGGGACTCAGGGCAGGCGATGCTGATGAGTCCCTTTGGAGTCTACCAGCTCCGATCGATAGCTCCTCGTTTCCGGCGAGAACCATCCGGCCGACAATTATCGCCAAGTATCGGAAGCTAGATGAGGCAACTTGAGGCTCAAACGTAGGCTATCTCGGCAGACATGCCAATCCGTCTTAGGCTCTTGGGCTCTTAGCCTTCGTCCGTCGTCACCATATCGAAAACTGACCTCGACTAAATAATGCAGCATCGATAGAGACGAGATACACCTGCGATTCCATGCGCGGGCCTTATCGCTACCTTTCACATGTCGAATGAGACGACTGACGCACCTCTCTTCCGAGTGTAGGCGCGTGCATTGAGCCATATCTCCCCAGCTTACATGTGGTGGGCCGCGAGTAGAACCAGTACCCACAGGCATAGTCTCAGGCCATAGCGCTTGACGTAACTGTACATGAATGTACACCGCAACTGGCGGCGCATGCGCAGTATGGACTGCGGCGCCAGGAAGCATGTATGCCATCATTCCGCATTATAGGATCGGGCTGCCATTGTGGATATGAGTGATATTTACTCAAAACCAAGCTCAACACCTGGTATAGAAAAAGACAAAAAGAAAACCTCGAGAACGAAAACTGAACGACTATTGACGATTAGTGGTAGGCGTACTGGACGTAGATTGAGGCATTTGGGTGGGAACGCAACGCGAGTGCCTGGTCGATTTGGGAGAACACATTTAGCGGCCAGTCAAGTCACGCATCCTGTGCACATTGGCGCTTTCAGAATGCCGCAAGACCCGTTTAGGACCGGAATCCCCTCT